GAAGGAATAGTGCCGATCTTTATTTCTCCGAACGGTTTCCGGCTTCCGGTCTCGTGATTTTTTGTCTATTTATTGCGAGAGTTCGGCGCCAACTTTCATTCTGCCTCTGGCCTCTGGTCTGGGAAGGAACACCGCATGGCAAGCCCGCCTACAGACAACCTTCAGTAACACCCACCACACACCCACCACCATCATGCACATGTACACACACTAACTAAACATGACCAGTGGGCAACTTTTGAACGTATGACGAGCTGAGCTGTGGACGGAGAGACAGTGTGAGTGAAAGAGCGGGTGAAAGGAAGAATGTGCGAGTGTATCCACAGGCGACAGCAACTACAAGACAAGACGACGACACCGACCCCCTGGCCTGGTCCACAGCTCACGAAAGAAAGGAATGCGGTTAAGGCAGTGTTTTGCCTATATTATTGTCCATGGTTCGCAGGGTGCAAAGGAAAGAATGATATTTTCTTTGTGTGTGCCTGGAGGGAGGGGGTGGGGTATGAAGAAAGTCATGCGGACAGGGAGCCCTGGAGTGAATGGACCCTGTGTTTCTATTTTTGTATACTTTGAACTGTTACTGAATACAGGCTGAAATAAAGCCCGAAAACACACACACACACACACACTTCTCACTCTCCACTTACTACCACACACAGACACACTCACATACATACACACACACACACACACACACACACAGGAGCAAATTTTTGGGTCTATATCTATTTCAATTTTCAAGAGCTATAGTCTAGAGAGATTTTTAGATGAGTGTAAAAACGTGAAAAAGAAAGGTTTCACAACAGAAAGAAATCAAAATTAGAACAGCCCATAAACAACAACAAACATTAACAAATAAGGGCGTGTGTCCACCTGTCCGAAGAAGATGGGCTGTTTTAACCCTAAATGTGCGTAATAAAAAATATTTTTAAAAGGACAGGATATTACATGTAAATTATGGAATCACACACATTACGGGGCTTTGCCAGTGTCAGTACATTGGTCGCAGCAGTGACAAACGCAGATGCCAGTTCTATGTGTCGTTATCAATAACCCTCCGTAGATCTAGATCTAGATCTAGACAGCACACGAGTGAACACAACACATTACGTTTAAGAGCAGCACCCTTCATAGGCAACACGCCATATCTGTAGCGAAAAACTGTTTAGAATTGTAGCATTTCTTTAAATAAATATTTACTGCGGACATTTTTTGGACCGCTTGAACCATATTGTATACGAACAATCTTTGGTAGGCTTATACTATAATTATAGATCTATATAATATCAGAAATTTGCGAGAAAGGATGTGATTTCAGAGTGTTCGGAGAAATAGTGCCCAGCTTTATTTTCCCGAACGTTCAGAGAAATAGTGCCTAGCTTTATTTTCCCGAACGTTCGGAGAAATAGTGCCGGCCATGTATATATATGACATGACATGCCCCAGTTGGCAGGAGGGAACGAGAGAAAGATAGAGTGGGAAATAGGTGGGGACAAAGAAAGACAGAAACAAACAAAGAAAAAGAGAAGGCGAGCGATACACACACAGAGAGAGAGAGAGAGAGAGAGAGAGAGAGAGAGAGAGAGAGAGAGAGAGAGAGAGAGAGAGACACACACACAGAGAGAGAGTGAGAGTGAGAGTGAGAGAGAGAGAGAGAGAGAGAGAGAGAGAGAGAGAGAGAGAGAGAGACACACAGAGAGAGAGTGAGAGAGAGAGAGAGAGAGAGAGAGAGAGAGAGAGAGAGAGAGAGAGAGAGAGAGAGAGAGAGAGAGAGAGAGAGAGAGAGGACTGCTCGATTGAAATTATGACATTGTAACTTGTTCTTTTCTTCAAATTGTGATTCCTCCATCCAACTCCAAAACGGAGGAAAAACGATCGTTCATCGAAAAGACATCCGCAATCTTCATTTAGATCTAGGCTAGCCGCGAAACTAGATCAAAGATTTAAGTCTGTCTGTCTAGATCTAGACCATAGATCTAGATTCTAGAAGAACCTAGGGGTCTACCCTGAGCCAAGAGGGCGCTGAAACTCTCCGAAATCACAAAAGAGTTCTTTTACCGGGTCTGTATACTTTGTGATTTTGTTCCCGGTTACCGGGTCTATATACACTCCCATAATATAAATCTAGATCTAGATTAGATTCTAGATCTATGTTATTAATTAGGAGCAGATGACTAATGACAATGTCAAAGTCTTACTTTTAGTTTCAGTTCAAAATGAATCAATCAATCTGAATCATAGACTTAAGGCCTCCTATAGAGACCTAGAATCTAAACTAGTGTACAATGATTATAAATCTATTCTATGTCATTTCTAAAAGAAAGTGGCTATTCTCACCCGCCCGGAAGTTCTCGCAAGATCTACTCCTCCCCTCTTCTCTCTCTCTCTCTGTCTCTTTCTGAATACTGTCTATCGGTGTGGACGATCAAATTGACCAAAACAAAGTTAAAAAATGATGTTAAAACACAAAAGTAAATTAATTTGGTTGTCTACAAAGATGCTACGGCTATTTAACTTTTCGAATCGAGCCGAACTACGCGGGTCGCCATTTTGTTTTGTTCTCTCTCTCACTCTCTCTCCCCTGCCCACAGACAAAATTGTATGCTTTTAGTAGGCTACAAGTACAGTTGTAATGGAACGTTTGTTCACAGCACAGAATTCTACAATTTTTCTCTTATCACAGTGTAGAATTCTGTGGTTTAGGGTGAACGCAAAATTTGTTGACACGCGCACCGGGTGAGAATAGCCACAAGAATAGAGGTGGCCTTTCTAAAACTACTCAGCAGATTCTCAGCTCCGCCTATTTGTTCAGTCACAGTCAGAAGGCCTCTGCCTCTACTTACTTATTACTTTCACCACTCACTACTCACTGCCACTGGATCTACTGGATCTACTTCATCTACCACCAACCTTCCCCCAAATAGATTTGTGTCATTCAATATTGCAAAATAAATTATTATGATTGTCTACTCATCTACTGTAACTACTGTAGGCTAAATGAGTAGATTCTAGATCTAGGCATAATACCGTATATTGCCGTTATCAACAATATCATTGTATTGTACTCATCAAGAATCATTATGTCATAGTCAAAGTTAGGTCATAGATCTAGAATATGACAACAAAGGGAGAATAAAATCAAGACAGTTCAGTAGGAGTAAAGATGTCTACTCTCTGCTGACCTCCCGGCACTGGGTTGAATTAATAAGCAAGATGGCCTATTGATTTAAAGTAATTAAAGGTAGTGCTGACGCTGAGAAAAAAAAAGGAAATACAAAATACCACCTGTGTACTAAGCATACGACATGAAACAGAGAAACTTTGTCTGTCTGCCGCCTACACACAATTTATTTTTCAATTCCATCCGTGTTGGCCTGACCGACTGACACTGACGACATGATTGTGACTGAGAAAACCCTGTCTCAGGGGCGACCTGGACGAAACGTTTTCATAGGCCTTCAGCTCTCTACAGGCCCACAGACAGGTTCATACGTTTATCTCAACAAACAGGAATGAAAATTACTCACAATTTGAAGCAGATAGGGCGAACTTTTGTCTAAATAGGATTGACTACAATCCCGCCCGCGCTCTCCACTGTAAGCGGACTCAGGTGGTGGCTAAAAAGGACTTGGCAGAAGCATGCAGATACCGGAAGTAGAACAATGATGAAATTTCTTATTTCGGTAACTAGTCATGTTCGTTTATCCAGATTGGGATCATTATACGCATTTACGTTGTGAAAGAACCGCCAACGAACTAATCTCGTGCACAAATAGGAACATCCGGTGTGAAAAATGCGTCATAGCCTAGGGATAAAACAATAAAACCTTTGGAATATAAGGAAAGTTAGGGTTGGTATTCACTAAAAACTCGTTATAAAATGCACTCTTCATGTAGGCTATGTACTTAAAATCAGAGCCTGAGCGCTGGTAAATTCCCTTGTGAAGAAGAACAAATGGGTGGCATTGGGTGGTCTACAGACCCTCCTCTCTTGCTGCCCTCAACAATAAATTTTAATTGTTATACATGTGCTTACATAAATGTTAATTGGATGCTAAACGCCCATTTGACATGGTCGCATCTGGGTGAAATACAAAATAAAATAGGTCTGGTTAAGGTCTTGTTTCCTAACCATATCCGCACGTCGTGTTTTACTAATACTATCGTATCCATGCGACGTGGGGAACTCTGTGCCACCACTTTCCAAAGAGGAAAACTCGTTAATCCGATCCGTTGGCTTTGCATAGCAGTCTGCTAAAATGATTTTTTGAAAAATACTGAAAGTTTCAAAGGGATCTTCGTACTAAAAGTATTCTAAAATGTGAAGAATACAACCCCGGGGTTACAAAATTACCCCAGGGCGTACGGATAGGGTTTAATAAGTTATATAATCGCCATTTGTACATGACGTCGTCGTGGCTACCCAAATAATATTATATTAGGCCTATGTTGTCCTCACAGAGAGCGGGAACATTTGATGTGTGTTGTAGGCAAGAATCTAATTACAAGCATTTAACCTCCTTGCATGGTAGGCAAAGATGTTATCTCAACTAGACCTTTCTATTCAACAAAAGACACTGTACAACAGTCAGCTCATGAACATTTCTTCATTATGAATAACTCGACTTCATTATGAATAACTCGAGGATCCGTGAAAGGATAGAGAGACAATCAAAACAGTTAACTCCTCAATAGGCTAACGCATAGCAAATCCAATCACGGATCGATCTACCTGCTAGCTGTAGCCAACTAAGAATGCTTTTTCCCCCTTTTTTTTTGGGG